AAGTCCACGATTTCTTTAATCTCAGGAAATAAGACAACTCTGTAAATAATGGCGGCCAATAAAGCATAATAAGCATCCCAATTTCCCATATTCGCTATTTCCTTAGCCTTACTTGCCAAGAAATCTGTAGGAAGACCGGAAGTGACTTTGTTGCGTCTCCATTTTCCTTTTACATCGTTAAGGCTCAAATAAAGAACCTTAGCAATATCCTCAAAATCAGGTTCAATAGGGATTTGAACAAATGGAACATGGCCGGTGAGCTTAATGTGGAGAAGTGAGCATACTCCTCAAGAGTAGGTGCTAACTGGTAGTCTTGGAATGTGAAGCATCTCAACTCTGGATCATAAAATTGTAACAACGTCTGTACAGCCTTGTCGTTAACCTGAGCATCCAGCAAAGATAGGAGATTCCCATATCTTTCACCAAAAACGCCCATTTGTTGATAATCCATGAGGTCTCTGAGCTCTTCAAGAGAGGGCCAAGTACTAGGACGAAACTGATAGCTGAAGTTATCCCTCTTCGTCTTCGGGGTGACATCAGTGTTGTTCGCCATTCTTTGGAGGAAAAGGAAACCCTGGATAGATCCTGGAAATGACAATGCATATGCGAATTAATTATTGATATATATATATAAATATATATATATATATATATATATATATATATATATATATATATATATATATATATATATATATATATATATATATATATATATATATATATATATATATATATATATATATATATATTTGAAAGGTAAATATGCCTATGATGTGTGTGCAAGTGATCATGAGGTTACTACTTCCATGATATTGATTTCTGTTGTACTGCCTCTTTGTATCCTTGTCAATACCGAGATTACAGGTCTGAAATGTAACTGGAAGAGGACTATGAAGATCAAAGATAAGTCCTCAGAAAATAAATCTGAGAACCTCAAAACTGTTGGCAGAAATGCAGGACATAACGAAAAGTAATCGTCTGAATATAGTCACCAATCGTACCTGTAATGATGAATCCCTCCCCACTCACGTGTGAAGACTAGGTCAGGGTGAGATAATGGTAACTCGAAAATCACGGGTCCGCCTGAAAGTAAAATCATCGCAACACAGACGTGCATGATGAAAGTACCTTCAATTGAACCTCCTCCGAGTGTGGTATATGACATGACTGCACTAATCAGACCACGTCCTATAGCCGTCATGCCCCCACTCTATTCCTAGGTGTCCTAGTGCACTCTATCCTGGGTACTGGGCCTTTTACCTCAATAGTAACATTCCCACCCAAGCAAGAAGCAGATAAAGTACAACAGCAGTATATGGAAGGCAGTAGAGTGTAATACATGCATATGCACAGGTATATTTAAAAAATGAACGAATGAACTGAAAGCATAAAAATAAACACCCTAAGAAAAGAAATCAAGAGCTAGGAGTGACTCCGGGACGGACCAACGTTTGGTCGACCTCTTCCCCAGTGAAGTCGCCAGCTGAAACAACCGGCTGAAAATCATCAAACAATGAAGTCGCCATCGAACGTCTTTTATCCCACATGTAGGGAAAGGTAAACATCGAGAAAACCTGATGAGGGAGAAGTCACAGTCTTGCGACCAAGAGATAAGGGTAAGGGAGTCTGTTACGCGAGGGGAAGGTATTAGCACCCCACACGCCCGTAGTACTCTACGGTATCCACTCTTGTTATCTATCTTATGGGTGTGTTTAATCTATGCTTACAGTTTATTATTGCTAAAGGGAAAGTGCATGCAAAAGAAAGGGGAAAAGAGTGTAGGGAAAATAAAAGTTGTGCTCGTTCGGGCCCTACCCCGATGCCTACGTATCCCTTTTAAGGAATCAGAGCAGTCGTAGTTCGGCTTACATGTTTTTTTGTTTATTTGTATTTTTTTTACTGAACAATATTAATTTCGCCTTCTGCCGCAACTCGACCGTTGGAGACTTACGCGTCAGCACAGAAGTGAATTAACATGCTCTTCTGAAAAGGGTTTGAAATAAAGGCCCGAGGGCAAAAAAGATTTTTATGTTTGTTGGTGTTTTTCGCTTGTAGAGAATAACTAGTTAATCTCAAGGGAGAGATTTTAGCCATGTCTCTACTTATTCATGAAATGACTCTTTGAGACTTGAATCATACCAAAGATTAGAACAAGAGAATAATAAGGTCGAGAAGAAACCCGCTCATCATCTCTCAAACTTAGCCAAGACATGGTTCTTATCAGTAAATTTTTATGTATTTTTGAAGTTTGTAAAAAAAAATTAGTTTTAGATGCGTATGCAAAAAGGGAAAGAAACGTTATATGGAGACTAGCCTAAACCTGATTCTATCACACTTCATATGATCTATGGGAAAAGATAAATGCGAGGTAAAAATAGAAAGAAAGTATACCAAACGGATACTAGCCCGTAGAGCAAAGCAGAAAAAAGCAAAGATACTTGATGTTCTTGCGAGCTGCTAGCACCAACAAAGAAAAGAGTCAGAAACCCCATTACTGAAGCATCTTTTAAGGTGAAAATGAATCACAATCGGCATCTCGAACATATCCATATAAAAACCTGCATAAGACTCGAATCTTGACGAGCAAAGTGAATTACCAGTTTCGAGTAACCGAATAATCATGAATTAATTCACAAAGGCAAAATAATAAAAAGAATATAATAAGTTCTCCTCTTTTCTTTTCTTTTTTTGATTTAACCATTTGAAATAACAATTAAATAAATGAATAATAATAAAAGGAGAAAAATAAATAACAGAATTCCAAAACGACGGCGTTTACTGTAAACGACCCCTTCCAGCTCCTTTACACAGAAAGCCTTTCTTCTACATGTCGACAACAACAATGGCGATGCCGCCATGACTCCACCCCTTCTCCCCTGTTCTGATTCAACTTTCTTGCTAACACCACCTAACGTTTCCCTCTGAATTCGATTCCTTTGCTTGCTTTCGTCAATTTTTCTTCCTCTATTCCGAATCCAACAACGAAACTTAAGCTCTACATTTCTTCCGATCAAGATTACATGGTGGATTTATCGTTCGCCGCATTTTACCCTTCACGGTTATGGTACAGACCAAGCAAAAAAAGTCGTAAAAAGAAGAAGATTGAGGATTACCTATTGAAGGCACGTTGGTAGCGCTTCAGAAATCCAGAGGTGAAGTAATACAGTTATTGTCCTTCTTGATCTTGTATGCTTCGTCTTGATTCTCTCCTCACTGTCTTCACTTTTTCTTTGGTCTGAGAGTTGTGTGCGTTGGAGATAGGAGAAGAGCGGAAATGATGACAATTCTGAAGATTATCGCAAGTTGAGAAAAATGAACTTTGTATGATGAATCAGAGAGAAGTGAAGCTTTGAGAACTAACTGAAGGTCGAACAATGGAGAGTGGCGGTGAAGACGGAGTTTAGAGAGGGGAAATTGAAGATTATGAGAGTTCAGAAAAATTGAGAGTGAATGATGGAGAGGGAAGAAGTTGTTTTGAAGCTGATAATGATGAAGTTCTGAAACTGGAAAAGAGAGAGTGACCTCGTCCCCTCAAACTTGGAGGGAGCTTGGATTATATAGGTAGTTGAGGGAGGAAACGGTTATGTGGGAATCAATCTGAACCATTGATTTGAACCATTGATTTGGATAGAGTTTGTTAGGGATTGAAGGGTGAGATTGAGAGTTGGTTAAAGGTGGTTATGCTAGTTGGGAATTCTGTTTGGAGGTAGTTAGAGAGTTATAAAGTTGTTAGGAGGAAATTGATGAGCTGTTAATTAATCTTCTGTTTCCTATTCTTCAAGCTTCTGTCCTACAAACAATTCCTTCAGCAGCCAGCTGCTTTAACAAAGTAACATCCAAAAATGGCATATTAGGATACCATTTGTCAGTTAATTCAACTTGTACCGCCTCTTTATTCTGATTAGATAAATTGCCGTTTTGAAGTTTCAGCCTTCCCACCAAGCTTAGTCTTGTGTTGATTGCTAGCGTTTGTATTAGTGTGCAGCTCAGTTTTAAACTTACCCTTGTCAGTACAATGGGCATCTCTTCCATATTTAAATCATTCGGGTTATCAAACTGGGTTTGGCCGGTTGGATCTAGTTGAATGCATCGAATACATGGCCCAGAAAATGGGTTGATAATAAACATTCAGTTTCTCAATAGACTTCTTTCCCATTTGATTAAGGAAGATATCTCAACATCTAGAGGGGACAAACAAGCTGACTCTAATTTCTTTCCACCAAGCACATTTGCAACAACCACCAACAGAGTTTGGCAAGCATGATATTCTGTCATGTTTTCTGTACCAGTGCCAGTGAACTCCAGTGATTGATCCTTCCTCGGCTGGTAAAACGACCATCTCCAATCTGGATTAGCTTCAAGAGGGCATCGTACCCTTAAAGAGTTTGATGATATGATAGTATCGTAGTATTGCAATAAAATGGTTCTTCCCACTTGTAAATTAGAGGCACCAAAAGTTAGGAGACATAGAGCAGATACAACTGATGGTAGAAGTTCCTTATTTATACCAGGAAGCAGTTGGAGATAGAAAACTGTTGAAGCAAGCAACTCCTCACAGCCAATATTAATATCATGTCTTTGTCCTGAGGTATTTTCTACAAGCACCAGTAAAGAATGCAGGGATTCTAGCTTATGTGTTTCTGTAAACCCTGAATATATATCATTGGATTTTTGATGAAGCTTCCCATTGATTACTGATGTTGTTAACCAACACAAAAATTTTGACACTAAGGAGTCATCACGAGACTCTTCTCCTAGTTCTTTTTTTTTTTTGACAAAAATGCGAGACTCGTTAGACCTCAACCTTTGTGAAGAATCTGATGCTAACGCAGTTGTAATTGCCCAAATAATAAAATTACGAAGCCTTGCCTGATCCATTAAGAAAATGGAAATAGGAGGTGCGCTCATAAGTATGGCTTCAAGAGAAAAATTCGGGTAAATGCCTTTTGTAGCTTGATTACACACACTGCCAACTTGGTATATCTGGTATAAACCCTCTATTGATAAGGCGAAACGTGGCTGACATATAACGGGGAAGAGTTCATGTCTTCCACAAAGTTCTGATCCAGAAGAACATCCTCAGCACCAGTAGCATCAGAAGTATACCGCTCAAAAAGAGCACCTTTAAGATCATACTGGCGTACAATATTTCGATTGTAGGTAAGATTTTCCATCACCATGAGGTCATGTTGTTTAACCTCTTTTCCACTTTTAATGTGTCTTCTAGTAACCTGATATATCCCCAAGACTGTTGCTAGATATGTTTGGCTCCCAGACTCAAATGACTCTCTCATGTGTTTGAAATATAGGGAAGAGAATCCCAAAAATGCTTCAAGTTCCGTCTTCTTGATTTCCTTTACGATGAACCTCTCATCAAGTGTTTTGGCAAAAAAAGATATGCTTTTTCCACCTTCGGTATCCCAATTCATACAACGGCTTAAAGAAGCAATATAATCAATCTCAGATGGGCAACAGCAATTTCTAAGTGCACGGAACTGCTTATAATAATGACAAACCACAGAATATTTTTCCCTCCCAAGTGATTTTTGCATAACCCAGATGAACTTCTTTGCTATGGTCTTCTGTAGCACGAAATGATCGTGACTCTTCTGAAGACACGCTTCCAGTAGAATGCGCAGAATCTGAATCTAGAGAGTCGTGCAAAGAATCTGTAGATTTTGAAGTTATCCCACTTTCTTTCACATCACCGTCAATTTTCGACATCTCAGATGAGTCTTTCAACAAGGACAGTGCACAAGCAATTATGCTTGATGGTTCACCCTCAAAGTCAGACACGACATGATTGTCTGTCTTGAGAGGAATGTGCAACCTTGGACCTTCCTCAGTGGTGAATTGATTTGTTGTGGGCGCGTGTTCGGAAATAGAGCTGCAAAGATATTAAAATTTTGGAAAGAAACTTTTCTGAAATTCCCTTATGCCTATCTTCCGAATATCAGAAAATGGCTTCCAGAACCCTTCATCTGAATCTTGCAATATGGAAACAGGTGAATGCAGTGAAGCACTCTGGTTTAACACCTTTGAATCAACGATTGGACGAACAGGTTTAATATTTATAGCAACTGGAAAGTTTTGATGTACTTAAAGATGGTCATTTGCCGAAGGAAACTGAGTGGAAACATTTGAACTCGATTCCAACTTTGGGTCAAGTACCTTTTTGATCCCAAACCATCAACAGTTTGTATTTTCACATTCTGTGGGATATCAAAAGTTTTTAGATGGATCACCCTGTTCATTGCGCTTTCTCTTGGCTACTTGGACCATGTTCCGATCTATCAACTCTGTCAAGTACCTTTCTGCAACGAGCTCCGGGGGCACTTCGTCATCTTCTGCTTGATGAATTAGACTCTCAGCAACCCACAAAACAAACAACCTTCTGACAGGGATCCCAAATTCAGCAGGGAATAGCACAAAGTAAAATAGACATCTTCTTAGATAATAAGGTAAGTTTGTATTAATTGTGTCTAGCGTTTCAGACCAACATTGTATTTGATTTTCATTGAGCTGCTGCCCTCCTGGCACGCTTAACCATTCCTCATGTGTAACATCTTTATGTGAAAGCAAATCACTTATTTTCAGTATTTGTGATGGCAGTCCCCCACATTTCATCACAATTTCTTTTCCAACCTTGATAAATTCTGTTTCTGACTTGGGGACCTTCAAATGTCTTGTGAACAACAGCCAACCAGTTTCATCATCTAATAACTGTAATGGGTGAAGAATGATTCTACCTACTGCATGTTGGGCTACTGTTGCATTGCGAGTAGTAAAAAGAACTCTGCTTCCTGTTAACATATCAGGTATGACCCTGTTCAAGGTATCCAAGTATACTTTGGATGTTTCTTTAAGGCCATCAACAACTATAAGGTACTTTGAGTGATACGAGGAGGAGGCAGCTGTGGCTGGCACAACATCCGAACTTTCATCGTGTTCAACAATGATTTCATCCTCAATATCTCTCTCTTGAATGCTGCTAATTGGGGTTAATAATGGTGTAGGATAATCTTTGAAAATAACAACTTGAATCATGAAGAGATTCTTGATACCATGTACTTTAATCTCAACTTATATTCATGTGCCATCTTCCTCCGCAAGAATTTATGAAATAAACCTTCGGGCATGCTATTTCCTTTTTTATCAAGTTGAGCCTTAACCCATGTTTGAAACCAAAGTTATTGCACAAATATCCAAACAATAGCTTGTACCAATCATTCGCAATACCTTGACTGTCAAGCAACCAAATTTACCATACAAAATATCTTAAATCATGACGCACCCAATCCTAATTGATTAACTTAAGGATAGATGAACTTAATGCAACAATGACATATTCAACAACCTGTATTGCAAGCATCATATGCATCCTGGATTGATAACAGATTTTGATCCTTTAGAGAAGATCTTAATACACCCCTAGTCTTGCCAAAACCTTGACCAAATGACAAGCACAACGATAGAATGAGGTGTTTTAAATTATGTACGCGAGATCACAATCTTATGTTATTGACAGGAATACCCTGCAACTTATTGTTCAACAGAATATAATAACCTTGTAGCTTGATGGAGAAGAAGTCAAAAAAAGAGAATGAACCAAAACCCTAATTCCATAGCTTGCTGCCTGAATAAGAAATCATCCCTTATTGGATACGAGCGCCTTAACCACTGGGAAACCCTAGTGTCGCACAACCATTGGACTTTGAACCTCAGAGATATTTATTTTTATGAAAAATGCGTACTATGCAAATGAACCATTGGAATGATGCAGATGAATGTAAAAAGTCCAAGCCAAATAAAAGAGATTAGGAGGGCAAATTTTGGGGTGCAACAAGCTTCTCCCACAGTTACTTGCTAGTCAAATGGTTCAATTGCGCAAACTCGGTCCACCGCCAAATCCTCTCCCTAGGGGATATGATATTAAAGCTCATTACAAATTCCATTATGGTGCCCCAGGCCATACAATTGAAAATTGCAGAGCATTCAAATGCAAAGTTCAAGATCTCATCGATGTAAAAGCGATTAACTTCAACCCTGTTGGTCCGAATATTCAAAATAATCCCATGCCTCCTCATCAAGGGGGAACAGTCCATGCTATTGCAAAAGTTAATGAACGGGTTTTGGTATCAAAGGTTGATGAAATTAAGATATCTTTGGAAACTGTCAGAGAACATTTGTTGAAGCATGAAGTGCTACAAGAACTCCATGACTTATGCTTAACATGTTCTTCCAAACCAGAAAAGTGTGTTGAGTTGAAGACGGCCATCTAACAGTTGATCGATGAATGTGTCTTACAAATAGAGAAAGTATTCCGAGAAGAAGAGATTGATGTCCTGGAAATCCCCTACTATCCGAGAAGCTTTTCAGCCACCCCTAATATTCCGTTAACAATTCAGGTTCCTATTACCCCCACAATGATTCAAGCTCTTATTCCTCTTAAAAGCAACGACTCGAAGGCAGTTCCATCGGAGTATAATGTAGTCTATATTCATGGAAAGAGGTATGAGTGCCCTCCGGTAGGTGACAAGAATGTTACCAACATTGCGGGAACAAGTAACATGACTCGCAGTGGTCGGATCTTTTCTCCTCCACCACCACCTCCTAAGGAAACTAACAGTGAAGCTCTAGCTAAGGCCAGGGGAAAGCAAGTGATGGATAATCAACCCGAACTTTCTGTAGGACAAGAAGCGGAGCAACTTTTGAGAATTCTCAAGCGGAGTGATTACAAAGTAGTGGACCAGCTCAACCAGACACCATCCAAGATTTCCATATTGTCTCTCCTTTTATGTTCAAAGGCCCACTGCAACGCCTTATTGAAGACCTTATGTTCTGCTCATGTTACCCAGGACATCTATGTGGCCCAGTTTGAAGGAATAGTCACCAATATTTATGTGGGAAATTGTTTGGGTTTCTGCAATGATGAACTCCCAATTGAAGGCAGAGCCCACAATAAAGCGATGCATGTTTTTATGAAGTGTTTGGACACTGTTTTATCTCTAGTTTTGGTGGATACAGGTTCTTCACTCAATGTGATGCCTAAGGTTACCTTGTTTAAGCTGAATATGGACGGAGTAATGATGAGGCCCTCCACTCTAAATGTTCAAGCATTTGATGGTTCGAGAAGATCGGTGGATGGAGAAGTTGATTTTCCTGTCAAGATTGGTCCCCACACTTTCTATTTGTCATTCTATGTTATGGACATCCGTCCATCCTATACTTTCCTTTTGGGACGTCCATGGATTCATGTAGCAGGAGTTGTGACATCTACTCTTCATCAACGCCTGAAGTTCATTGCGAATGACCAAGTTGTCGTCGTTTGCGGGGAAGAAGACATAGTGATTAATAATCTGACTACCTACCGTCATGTGAAAGTGGAAGGCGAGGTACAAGAGTTGCCCTTTCAAGCTCTGGAGATTGTTACTGTTGACAAAGTCCCCGTCTTGGAATGTAAGAAGTCTGAGATACCCCTGGCCTCTTTGAAGGATGCCAAAGCCCTCTTAGAAGCCAGACCTCCCCATGACAGTTGGGGAAAATTGATTGAAGTTCCAGAGAAGAAAGATCGTTTTGGTCTTGGGTATCAGCCATCATCCTCCGTGCAAGCTGGTTGGGTTCCTCTCAAAGAACAGCAGGTTCCCCCAATTTCTGAAGTGTTCGTCAGTGCTGGTGTAAGCAAAGAAGGACAAGTGCTCTCCACTGATGCTGAAGGTGACGATGAGGATATTTCAAGATTTATCTACCAAGTTGCACCGGACCAGGAGCTCAGCAATTGGACTGCCATGGACATCCCTGAAGTTGTTTTCCTTGATGTGTAATTTTTTGTTTCCATTTTAAGTCATATGTCCTGCCCAAGGCATACTGACAGCTTGTAGAAGGGGCCCCTTATGTTTCAATCTTCGTTTAACATTGAATGAAAAAATCGCACTTTCGCATACAATTTTGTTCTCTGTCTTTTCTTTTACTTTTACTTTTTCAAAATAAAAATGGCAATACTTTTCTTTTCATATTCTAAATACTCTTTTGCACTTTCTAAAAATAAAACATAAAATCATTGATCATGCAGATCCGTCTTGAACTCCGTTGGAAATGATAATGCTATGGCTCTTTACATCCTTGAGAATTCAGTCGATCGTGCTAACGAAGATAGTGAGGAAGATTGTGAAGTCCCTGAAGAACTAGCCAGACTCTTGAGACAGAAAGAGAAGGTCATCCATCCGTATCAAGAGGAAACAGAAGTCGTCAATCTCGGTACCGAAGAAGTAAAGAGAGAAGTCAAGATAGGGGCCGCCTTGCAAAGTGAAGAAAAGAAGGGGTTGATTGAATTGCTTCAAGAGTATGCTGACATCTTCGCCTGGTCGTATGAAGACATGCCCGACTTAGACACTGATATAGTAATGCATAGATTGCCACTCAAGCCAGAATGTCCTCCTGTAAAGCAAAAACCAAGAAGGACTAGACCCGACATGGCCTTGAAGATCAAAGAAGAGGTTTAAAAACAGCTTGAAGCAGGTTTCCTATCTGTGATAAATTACCCGCCTTGGATTGCTAACATTGTGCCCATACCTAAGAAGGATGGTAAGGTACGCATGTGTGTTGACTACCGAGACTTGAATAGAGCAAGCCCGAAGGATGATTTCCCGTTGCCTCATATTGATGTATTGGTTGATAACACTGCTCAGTCTTCGGTATTTTCCTTTATGGATGGGTTCTCTGTCTACAATCAGATAAAGATGGCTCTGGAAGACATGGATAAAACAGCTTTCACAACTCCTTGGGTACCTTTTGCTATAGAGTCATGCATTTTGGTCTTAAAAACGCTGGTGCGACATATCAGCGAGCTATGGTGACTCTTTTTCACGACATGATTCATAAAGAAGTCGAGGTGTATGTGGACGACATGATTGCAAAGTCACAGACTGAGGAAGAACATTTGATTCATTTGAAGAAGTTGTTTGATCGTTTGCGAAAGTTCAGGTTAAGGCTTAATCCCAACAAATTCACCTTTGGGGTTCGGTCGAGCAAGTTACTTGGTTTTATCGTGAGTCAACGAGGAATTGAAGTAGATCCAGACAAATTAAAAGCAATACAACATATGTCGACGCCGAAAAATGAGAAGGAAGTACGATATTTCCTTGGAAGGTTGAATTACATAGCCAGGTTCATTTCCCATCTTACTGCTACCTGTGAACCCATCTTTAAATTGTTACGCAAGAATCAGGATGTCTGTTGGGATGAGGGTTGTCAAGAGGCTTTCGAGAAGATTAAGCAGTATTTTAAAGAACCACCAATACTCATACCACCAGTTCCAGGGAGACCTCTCATTATGTATTTGACCGTGCTTGAAGGATCTATGGGTTGTGTGCTCTGACAATATGATGATACTGGACGAAAAAAACACGCCATTTACTATTTGAGCAAGAAGTTTACTGATTGTGAATCGAGGTATTCCTTACTTGAGAAGACTTGTTGTGCTCTTACATGAGCAGCCCGACGTTTGAGGCAGTATATGTTGACACATTCTACGCTTCTGATATCTAAGATGGATCTGATAAAGTACATCTTCAAGAAACCAGCACTTACAGGAAGATTGTCTTGGTGGCAAATGCTTTTGTCTGAGTATGACATCTAATACGTCACACAAAAGGCTATCAAAGGTAGCATTCTTGTTGATCATCTCGCTCACCAACCATTGGAAGAATATCATCCCATGAAGTTTGACTATCCAGACGAGGATATTATGAAACTTGATAACAATGAAGGACCTGAACCAGGGGAATGATGGACTCTCACGTTCGATGGTGCGTCAAATGCTATGGGTCACGGTATCGGGGCAGTTCTGACCTCTCCACACGATACTCACATACCTTTCACTGCCAGATTATGTTTTGATTGCACGAATAATGTCACTGAATACGAAGCTTGTGTGATGGGCCTTGAGGCAGCCATTGATTTGAAGATCAAGATTCTTGAAGTTTATGGGGATTCTGCCTTAGTGATACATCAAGTACGGGGTGATTGGGATACACAGCACCCTAATT